TAATTCGACCATCCCGAAACAAAACAGGTCAACTAACATCAAGATATTAATCTCTACATGCTGGGCATTTACACCAAGGCATTTAAAAGCCGTAAAATATGCCCTATATATTTTTGATCTGCTCTATCAAGAGCCATCAAAGGCCACTTGGCTTTAACAGAATTTAATGTTGCTAAACGAGGAATTTTAACTATCCTACGCTGGCTCCATTTCTCAACAAGCACAGAGTTCAAATATGCCTTAAACGATAATGTGAAGCATTTTTTTTCTATTGGACAACATTAATTGGTACATAAGGACATAGAAGATTGTTCGGAGTCAACTAAACTATGATCACTTTTTCATCAATGGACATCAATGCATGATTGGTCAAAATGACTACCTTGGATCAAGTGCCCCTACGATTCAGATTTTGTCAACTCATCTTTTGTATCGCGGATAATTACGGTTCTCTTGAAAAACAGCCTGTCACTCAATTACAACTTGGCATCTTCTAGTTGGAGAATCTATTTTGTTATTTTTTTTTTTTTTTTATCAGTTATTGATGCTTTTTGTAAAATCATGAGTCACAGATAATATATTCATTTACTAGTAAGAGATTGATTGCTTTGGAGGGTAAATTCCCATCTCAGGAACATTCACTCACGAAAAAACTACTGTCACAATGACTGAGACTTTGTTTTAAGTGTTGTGTCATATTCAATACAAGATCCAATACATTGTTTGTTTAAAGGAAATTTCAACGCACGCTACATGTGCTATTGACACTGCTGCGAAAGTTACGAAAAATTGTTTACCCCAATATTAAATGTGCTAAAAGAACATCACACTAACTCTCAATGTCTCATGAAACTAAAAGGCCCACGCTCTTATGCCATGACATTTCTTTAGAGCCGAGGTCAGGATCACAGTAAAACTCCACAACAAGTACACAAGTATTCCATTTTCAACACAAAAGGTGAACGTAAAAAAAAAAGAGTACTATACATAGCCGTGAATTGTTCTCAACAATACAGAACATGGAAAATAATGCGATACACTTGACATCGCTCCAATTTTGTTTTCATTTAAACTCAAGGGCTGTTTACTTCACACAGTGATTGCTTCATTCTGAGCTGAATGACCTTAAAAATGAAACAAATATAGGGGATCTCGTACACAATTCATAGCGTAAATGGTTTCAGTCCTATAAAATAAAAAACTTTTCGTGTACAAATTCACAACTTTTTTTGTTGATTTCTAAACTATTTGGAATTACCAGCTCATTTTTTCCCAGTTCAGAAAATAGTAAAGTGTTATGTGTTTTTATAAGTACAATGTTATAGAGTTTTTAAATTGCTCAAAAATAGAAACATACAACACAAATGTTGCATATGAACAACCCTTGTTACTGAAGTCACATTTAAACGCACAATTATACAATTTCATTGATGGGTTATGATCTAGGTATATATCTGATAGTATGAGTGTTCAGGAATTGTACATTTTGAAATGCAACTTTTTGTTTCTCGTTAGCATATACTAATTATCATTGGTTTAATAAAGTGGTAAATTTTCACAATTAGAAATTCTTAATTAATTAGTGCATTTAGCTAACAGCAATAATAAAGGTATATAAAACCCCATGAATCTGACAGAGCAGTACCTGTTTATCAACTATTTATAAACACACACAAATAATGTACAATTTCATTGGGATGTCCCTTCTTATAATGAACAGTTACAGGATCTAACCGTACTTTCATTCACATTTTCTACACTTCATTCAAGCATAAGTTTTCCATCTCAATTCACATCAAGACAGACAATCGCTAGTTTTTGAATGAGGAATGATGATACAATAAGCCAGTCACAGTTCACGGTTGAAAAAATGTTGGAAATTTGAATAACAAAAATTAATAATTGCAATGACTAGGGTTGGACTATTTGAAATGTTGAAACTTGAAAAAAAATTATAAATGTTTTTTTTTCTGAGTTTGCATAATTAGAGATAGTAAAATGAACAAAATGTTCACCTCCTCACTCCATTTTTCAAGCCTTACCCATACTTCAAATGGTCTCGCCCACAAGTTGATCTTGGGAGCACAGGTCAAGGGGTCAGGAAGTTCATTGCTTACAGAAGGAAGGGTGTTTACTATTAAATTATTTCCATATAATCTCCTCATGTTCAAAGAGAATTTTTCAAATACTCAAGTGTATAGGATTTCCTGTCCTTTTTTTTTTTTTTTACTTCTGAAGATAAAAATATCACAATTAACTTGCATCTAATGAACCTTTCATAATGAAACCCACGTGTCTGCACCACATCTCATCACATAATCTGTATGTCTACCATTCCAGTGATAAACGGCAACTCAAGGAGTAAGGTAACACTAGGGGTGGCTGGACAGAGACCATTTTGGTCAAGCGTGTTTATGTTTAAAGTAACACAACCCTGTCAAATGCTAAGAATCATATACAAAAACATGTGAGTCTATTCAACAAATTCTGCCGTGGCATATAGTTATCTACAATGAATGGGTTAAACAAAATAAACAGTTGCCAAGTAAGCTAAATACTAAGTGGTGTGGCTAGCAATAAATGGGATTTAGTGGTTAAAACTACCAAGTGTGACTCTAAAACTACCAAGTGACCATAAAACTATGACAGAATCCAGCAAAGTTACTTGGAGCCACTGGATTTTCATCGTTTGAAATGTTCGGAATCTGGGGATCTTTTTGGGGTGACTTTCATCAAATTGTGAGAAATAGAAGGTGATTCACACTTGCACCGAATTGCTGCGAGTCGTGGTAATATCAAATGTGAATCTTTGCAAATTATTTACAAATGTTACCAACTAACACTGACTCAAATCCACAATGAAATGGAAAGCAGAAATGAAAGCACTGAAATGGAAAGCAGAAATGAAAGCACTGAAATGGGAACTTTAGTAAATATTTCCTACAATTTTAATGTGCACATAAAATACTTCACAAAATATAATCCAAAACACCCCAGACCTCAACTTTAACTCCAGTCATCTAGCTTCACACTTGCACTTCTAAGAAATTTAGTGATTTATTTCCAACTAACATCTCATGAAATCAAAAGCATCATACTTTTTTAATACAGAGCAGCAAAGTTCATAAGATTAATGAGACGTCTGACGAGTACAGTTGATTTGGAAAATGGGCAGATACCAAATAGGATTGCCTTATAAAATCATCCAGGTGTATCCTCACAATAGCTGACATTCTTTAGTATTGTCCTTCAGTTTTAGGTGTTTATAAATTCAGAAGTTTACTTCCTGACGCAGTGTACTACGAAATGTGCCAGACTAAAAATTTAAGTTGCTTTATCAAAATCCGCCCATCTATGGTTTCTTGCAAGACAAACAACCACCGTATGTCTGTCTATGTCTGTCGTCAGAAGTCTGCATTAAATGCTGGCCTTGGCGTTTTAATTAAAGCCAGTAAAATAACATGACAAGACCATATCCTGGATAATCCAAGAGTGGTAACAGATCAGAAGATCAGAGTTTTTTTTCAATTGCTAGGTTTACAAGGCAGAATTTGATCAGACGCAAACTACCGGTGTTGTACACACCGTGAAACGTTCCTTTTGCCATTTTGGGCTGTTATCTCCCATTGAAACAATACTACACGCTGGGAAAAGATGTACTAGTATAATAATAAGGTTATAAGAATACCACTCAGGAAGTACAGTAATGCATCAACATCCACTATGTGTCTGTCAATAGCGTTATCATACTAATGTTGATACACACATGTTTTTGTTTATTTTTAAATTGTTTTTAAAGGTGCTTTAATTTTTCATTAGATTTTATTTTTTCTAATATTCAGAGACAAAAAAAAGTTTTAACAGATGCACTGATGATCAAAAACCTGAATATTTTTCTGGGACTTACTTTTTCAAATCTGGTCTAGTAATTTTATGCAATTTACTGTAAAATACTTTATTTTCACTATTTTTGCTGGAGTGGCGATTCAGTGAAAACGAAATCCAGCAAAAATATACCTTTTCTCCTATATCTTGCATTTAAATTCTTCAAAAATCTGTGAAAACACGCCAAAAGTTTTTTTTGAGCGAAAATTAACTCCAGTTAAAATAGAGAATTTTAAAGTATACAGCACTCTTCATTCTGATGAAAATATCATGAAAATGATCGATTATATAATATATAGAATATATTTGGCCAAAATCGCTCAGACATCCTATTCCTTGATGCAGATGTATGGGAGTGGAGAAATGTGGTCATACTTGACAGAAGATATAATAGCGATATATACAATATTTTTGAGAGTGCTTTTATTGGACAGGCACTTATAATAGAGCTCATACAATATGTGAAGAGAAAAGTTGACTTCCCTGAGGGTATACAGAAAATAAAAAACATGAGGCATATGGAGTAAATTTACAAACAAACAAAAGTACAACTTTTCATGGAGAATGGGTGTTATTGGAAGGCAGGGCAGACAATGAGCAATTGAACATTGACTTTTCACAGCTAAGTTTTAAAAAATTATCACACTTGAAAATTTATACCACATAGATAATTTATATGGCCGCGTCATTTTTAAAGAACTGGAGTAAACAGACATCAAACACAGAGCGAGAAGGGTTGTCACCCCAGTAGTAAATAAAATAAATCATAGCCGGGTGCCGTGAAACGTGACGGCCCCATGCGTGCAGGGCACGCAGTATGCGGTAGATGCACGTGGCAAGTCAAGTCAAAAAAATGTCTCATTTTTAAAGTAATCCATCGGATGGTCACAATTAACAATCAAACGGATTCTGATATGCTAAACTCAAACGTACATCGCAAATATATCAAGAATAAAATGAGATATTATCGGGAATAAAATAGGAAGGGAATGTCAGGGAAACAATTCGTGTGAAATTTGAGTGACAAGGAGTTGTTGTTTTTGTTTAATTTAATTTAATTAATTATAGATTAATTAATTGAGTTTAAGGTGAATGGTGTTAATGTTTAAGCCTACCCTAATTCTTCGCATCGCTGCCACGATTTCGATTCTGCTGCTTGGCCGTGGCACATCAAGAGTACCGATGTACTGCAAAGAAAAACAAACCATATGCAATTTAAAGTAAATACTTGAACGCCAGAACAAACACGGGATCGACGACAGATCATACTATGCCACGAAGTTCGTTTACAGGGGGAAACCACAAGGGCTTCCGAGCAAATACAAATCTGACCTTTACACACTTGTACAACTTTGGTTTGAGATAGATCAGAAAACCAAATACAACGTGTACCAGGTTACTCGCGACCACGTACCTTGGCTTGAAACTTTAGACCATGCTGGAAAGCTTCTTCGTTGTGAAGAGGTATTCGCGAGTCGTATGTGTCCTCTACCAAATTGTACTTGTTCTTTTTCGACGGCATTTTCGGCGATGCACTGTGTTGCGCGTGTTTAAGTCCAATCTCCGCTGAAGTAAAATCGTATTGTCGATTACAAAAGAAGGTAGCCACGGATTCCGTTGACTCTTACCGAATCGTGCGTACGCCAGTCAACAGTGACAATACGTGTGAACGGCGTCACTATTTTAGCAGTTTTTGTTTTACGGCTGTTTTACGGTCAAATACAAACTTTTAAAGAACAGCAAACAGCCTTGGTCCCACGCCTTTCATAAGTGTAGATTGACGATCAATTCAATGCAACAAGCTTATCCACCGTGAAAGAAGCCAAGTTTTGAAAACTAGTTTTCCGGTCAGCTCGTGGCGCACATTCATCGTAGTCTCGACTCGGGTACTTATACGCTGTACGAACAACTGATAATCCTTTCCGTAACGACCAATGACCGACTATGAGGGGAGATCCAGACCGAACTCTACTAAGTTGTTTGAATATTTGAACATGATTATGACTTCCGGCCGCCTATGAGTGGTCACATGATGTTTGTATTTAGATTGACGTTTGCATATCATTTACATAATTGAGTGGAGGGAGTCTATTTTTAGCGCGGTACCGAACCACTTCCGCTTCCGGTTGATCAGAAAACCGCTTGACTTGCAGATTGTACCTTTTGTGTTTGTGTTTCTGTGTATTTATAAGAAATCTAATGATTTGGGTCATTGTGACAACCGACTCGTTACAGAGGTGAGTATTGTTGCCAAACCAGTCCCAATTTGATCGAACGACGGCATCGACAACAACAGTAGCAGATTTACGCTAAACATGAGGGCGCAACTTGACAAATACTTGCTTGACCATTGAATTAGGGGATGAAACAGGAATAGCGAAACCATTTGCACCACTTTCTTACTGCCCTTCCCTTTATAAGCTAATCGAACGTTCAACCATGGAACTAAAAACACGTAGTTCCATGGGACAACCCAATGTCACCGTCTACTAGTACTACGAGTACATTTATGGCCTGATCACAGTCCCTCTATCGATAGAGGGACTGTGGCCTGATGTTGTACGTCGTGATGGTTTGCCGTCTCTGAAATTATTGTCATAATTCTAGAATATGCCATCCCATCTAATTTGTTTGTGTTTACTTGTCTTGTGTTGCCTTGACACAAACCAGAATATTTGCTGAATCGGTACAAACACACGCAAAATTTGGAAGCCCGATTATTTCTATTGTGTCCCAAATTTTATTCATTTCATAGAAAATGTCTATCTTCTTGATTTTTATCATGATTTGAATACATTTTTATGGACTGGAGTACACGTCTATTGCTAAATTACCGAACATACTGTTTTTGTTTCACAATTATTTTTCAGAACAAAATTCTGCATCCCGCCCTGTTAAAGACTTCACTCCCCATGGTGCAGTGGAAATGTCAATAAAATTAGCTGACATTGCTTCTTATCTGTAAAAAAAAAAAAAAAAACACTCTTCAATAATATTCAATAGGTGATCTTGCAGAATGCATGAAAAGCGTGGACTGAATATCTGCTACAAAATTTTAATGATTTGATTTTGAACTAGAATTTTTTTTATAGTTTTAAATTATAATATGTAAAAATACCAAGCTTTCAGAGGATATACTAGTGTATATATGCCGTTGAGGTAACTTTATTTCATCGAAATTAACAATCATCAAATATGTATAGCACATAATTGAGCGTACTCTTGCATTCGTCAAATACCACACGATGTTGTGACACCACTACAACAATATGAACAGTTTTTACATTTGATTTCACGCTTAATGCAGAATCTCGTAGTAAACAGAAAATAATCAGACGTTTCCACTTGTCATTCATGCAGGAAACGCTTTCCGTGAAGCAATGTCAAAGAAAAGGGGAATTTTTGGTGTTGCAGGACCACGCGTGTTGTATTTCTTTGATGGCCGTGACAGCTGGTCCTCAGATGATGATAGTGACTCAGATTTCGAGGTGACACCAGGTGAAGCTGAAAAACTGGATATAAAGATTCATAAAAAAAGGTAATATATCTATGGTAAATATGAAAATTGAACACACTCTCAGTGTGGCAGGAAATATATTACCCTCTTTCAATAATACTACCAGTACTTTGTCTTATTGTTTAAACCACATTCAGACTACTGTAAAATACTTCGCTTCGCTATTTTCGCTTGGAATTAATTTTCGCTGAAGGAGTGATTCAGTGAAAATAAAATCTAGCGAATATACCCTTTTTCCTATATTTTACATTCAACTCACAAAAAATCAGTGAAAATAAATTCCATACAAAATACCCCAAAAAGTCTTTTCAGGGAAAATTAATTCCAGTGAAAATAAAATATTTCATAATATATAATGGAACTAGAACAAAGGTGATCATAACGTCTCTAACCATAGACCCAGTTATGTAATTTTTGTATTAATTAAAATTAAGAAATCTGTAATAGTTGGTGGTTTGTTAATATTAAAGAGCTTAAAAACGGCATGTTTTTCAGTGTCAATTCACCACCCATTGCCGTTCAATTAAAAATATAATTCAATGTGATACACTTACTGTCTCAGTTGAGTACTGGTCCCAAGGGTGGATGAACATTTCTGCTGCAACATTTTGGCTCTGACTTATTTGTTTTTTCGGAGGCGGAAATTTTAAAATTACTGTAAAACATGTTGAAAAAGCGGTATGCAATTTTAGCGATACAGTAAAATGACGCTATAGTGAAATGTTGATTTAGCAAATCTCTTTTATCATTGTTGATTTCTTTGTTTGGCCGCTAATGTTAATAAATATGCACAAATTTGTCCCTGTTAATAAAACAACATACAGGAACATTGTCGTCACAACAGATCATGAACTATCATTTGCATTATTTGTTATCAGATATGCACATACTGTTCAGTCGTGAAATCTGCAACAATTCTGTCGGCACAAAATTGATGCAAATTAAAATGGATGAACTTTATACTAGGTTGAGGTTATTTTATGGGAAAGGCTATTCCAAATTTTGGGTCATATTATTATGTTAAAGCGCTACAGTCGCCCAACTGCGGCATGTAGGGTATGGGACTCATAGCAACGTATGTAATACATTGTATGTTTACACAAAATTCAAGCATGCACTGCGTGATGACTGTATCATTTTAAGTGTTGTAATTTAAGTGTGTTTGTTTGCCTATATTTACATAACAACACAGAAATAGGTAAAATAAAACTAACATTTACTTTCATTTTTTCTGACAGAATAAAGAAATGTAAAGAAAGAATCAATGGTGTAGCTGAAAAGGACGTATATGGCAAATCTAAATTAAAGAAAATGAACAAAGAGTGGACTTCATCAGTATCAACAAAAAAAGGGCACGGTTCCAGAATATGTTTGCAGAATCTACCTCCTGAAGTATTGGTGCATATCTTTAAATTTGTTGTCAAAGATGACAATGTCCTTCCTACTCTCTGCAGGTAAGTTGTGAAAGCCAGTTAATAGCCCCCTCTAGTGACCAATTGGTGATTGACTTCTTTTTTATGCATATCCTGCCTACTCGAGATAATGCGCCCTCAGTGATTTTGAAATGAATCAAAATTCTGAAAACTAAGTTGATCATCTTTTTGAGGCATCCAAAGCCTTTGAGAGTGTTGTTGTTGATGTTTATGTTTCCTTCTAATTATAAGAAGAGCAGATAGACAAAAGACGCAGTTCCAAGTTCGCAAACTTTTTTTTTTCCAATTGCGAATGCAGTGAATTATTGTTTTCCATACTGTAGAATACATTTTTTAGCTGGAAATAATATTCGCTGAAAAGACTTTTTGGGTGTTTTGTATGGAATTTATTTCCACTGATTTTTGACAAGTTGAATGTAAAATATAGGAAAAAAGGTTTGTTTGCTGGATTTTATTTTCACTGAATCGTTCCTTCAGCGAAAATAGCAAAAATTAATTCTAAGAGAAAATAAAGTATTTTACAATATTTGATATTATACAAAAATTGTTTTATTTGACGGACATCGCATACATCAGCAAAATCATTGCGTAAAGAAATTATATATAAATGTAAATTTGACAGGGCTAAAGTTTTTGCAGTTTTTGTCAAGTTTGCAAACGACCACCAAATTACAAAGTTTTAATCTGCAAAATATGACTGATAATGAATATCGTGAATATATTAGTTTGAAGTAATTTGTATTGTTGAATTACATCTTGGTAAAATTCTTTTTTTTTCATCCAGATTTTCTAAAATGTGTCAAAATTTTTATGTGGCTGCCAGTCACCCTTCACTGTGGAAGAAAGTAGACCTGTCATTTGGTTGGATCAAGTCTAGCCTGGATACTCTAAAGTGGTTGGTGAAGCATAGGCTGACTCAGGTAGAAGAACTGAATCTAGGATCATGGGATCAGCTGAAAGATGAAGGGATCCAGGTAATTTGAAACCATTCGTACATTGCACACATTTGTCTGGCTTTCACAAACAATCAACTATTTTAGTGTTAAAATTCATCAAAATCAAGCGTTTTTGCAATTTCAGAACCAGATCTCAGTCATGCATAAACATATTTCATTCTAACTTAGTATGTTCATTGAGCATGTAATTTTTTTCCAAATCAGATTGGCAGAATGGCAGCCATTTTGTTTTAACAAATGCAGTTCCAGGGTCATATCTCTGACATGGTTTGACCGATCACATTAAAACATGACACATACATCTGTTTCATGATCAAATTCAAGATGGCTGAAAGGCAGCCATTTTTAAAATCAAGCGTTTCTGCCATTTCAGAAATGGATCTTGGTCGTGCATGGACATAATTCATTCAAAATTGGTTTTCCCATCAAACAATGGGTCTTTGATGCATATCATTTTTTCCCATAGTTGATTTAAAATGGCTGACTGATGACTATTTTGTTTTTAACGAATGCTATTTTAGATCCATATTGCTAACACGGCTGGACTGATTGTGTTCAAACTTTACACATACATACATCAAGTAAACATTTGCATATGCATCTGTTTCAGAATCTGATTCAAGATGACTAATCATCATTTTTGTGCTAAAAATGCTTTATGATATGAATGTCATGGGCAAAATAAAGAAAGAAATCGTGTCTGTGTCATGATTCAAAAGTTGTGAATATTCTTGACTGTTGTCTGTTTGATCCAAAATCAAGCTTGAAATTTGATCAGGTTTCCTCAAGTGTATGAAATTTTGGAACTGAAAGTTGAAAGTGGAAACTAATGAAAAGCATATATGCATACTTTGATCTGTTTTACAGATTGTTACAGAAAGCTGTCCAACCCTGACATCCCTCATTCTGTTCCGATGTAAAAAACTAACCTATAGATCTCTCACGCTAATTGCTGATAACTGTACAAAGCTGAGTGCTTTAGATCTTTCTTTTGCTAGTGTAAGTATCACCTAATATGGTATCTCATTTGCATATTGCATTACTATGCAACATTATGTTAATTTAAAGATGTTCAATACAGTTGAACAAAAACATTGAGAATTTACTCATTATTGGTGCTGGTAATCTGAGATAATTATATCAACAATACTAAAAATTGGGGCTCTTCAACTTCGTTTTGGAAAAAATCTTCTGTTTTAAAACCATTTATTTTTACTGACATTTAATTTCACTATTTTGATGTTTGAGTATATTCACTGTGTTTTAATTTCACAAATTTGTCAAGGAAACAATGATTGTTATTTTACATGTTCACGTGGATCTAATTTAGCAGATTCTACTCATCAGCGAAAATGACGAAATTAAAACACAGTGAATAATTTAATAATGCATTTACAGTATGCAGTTGATACACAGTCTTGATGAGGAGACAATGAAACATGGGTCTTTCAGATATGAAAAAAAAAAAACATTGTAATTTTTTTGAAACAATACCAATAAAAATGTGCAATAGAATGTTTTCTCATGTGAAATCACACCTGCATCCATTTCAAAGACTTTGTAACAAGACAAGCCTATAGCGACGACCAATCGGAATTGCAACCCCAATTTATGATAATAAATATGTAATAAAAGTACTAAAACAATGTGTTTTCATTTTCAGGGTAACGTACTCAACCCTCCCACATTGAGATATTTTATTGAGAAGCGAGGAGCGAATCTAGAAAGTCTGACACTTTCAGGAAATAAACTTGGTTCATTTCAGAAAACACTGTCTTCCCTCAAGGTAGGTGTCATACACGATTTAATGCATGGCATATAATTCATGACTGAAAATTTACACATTTTTTTCAACAAATTAGAGAAGGATTTTGTCAAATATCCCAATTCAGTCTAACGGGATTGAATTTCTATTAATTTCTTCTCTACTAACTATCACCTTCAGTATTGATGTTGCATGTGCAATGTTCTCATTCATTGAATCCAAAT